GAAGAGTTGAGGTACAGGAATTGTCCGGTGTATCTGACTAGGATGATAGCTGACTATCTAACGGGAAGGTCGGTTACACTAATGGGGAATTATAATAGGGCCGAGAAGTGTGTCTCCAAAGGTTGCCCACAGGTGTCCATCTTGGGACCGGAGTTGAGGAATCTGGTGTTTGATGGCCTCCTCCGTCTGCTGGAGGCGAGAGAATGTGATTGTTTCGCCTACGCGGATGATCTATTGGTCCTAATAAAGGGGAACAGTAGGAGAGAGGTTGAATCATCGAGGCAAGTGATAACGGATTGCATAATGGAATGGTTTGAGAGTAATAAACTAAGTTATCGGAAACAAAGTCGGAGATACTCTTGAAGGGATCGTTATCGGACAGATCACCTGTCATTACGATCAGAGGAAAATCGATAAGTATGAAAAACAGTGTTAAATACCTGGGGATTACTCTGGGGGGTCAGATTTAATATGACTAAGCATATCGAGACGGTATGTGCCAAAGCTAAAGTCACATTCGAGCTCTTTGGTAGAATTGCGAGAACAGCTTGGGGTTTAAAGTACAAGTTACGCTACAATGGTAACACTGTACAAAGGAGTATTTCTAGCTATAATTACTTATGGTGCTGGGGCTTGGGAGGACCTGGAAAAGAAGCGTCACATTAGAATTCTCATGAGCACTCAGAGATACGCTCTCTTGAGCATAACAAGGACCTACAGGATTGATTCCACTGAGGCCGTGCAGGTTCTGGCTGGAGTGGAACCACTAGATTTAACTCTTAAATGTAGAGCTTTAATATACAGAGCAGTGAAGCAAGAAAAAATCGAGTTCGGTGAGTTTGCTTCTAATCCGGTGATGACTCCTGCTCAGATTAGTAAGGGACTCAGGAGGGCAATAATTACAGAATGGAATAATAGATGGAGTAATAGAATAAGAGAAGGGTAGAATGACATACGAGTACCTACCCTGCGTCTATGAAAGATTGAAGAAGAGCTGGCTAAATGTTGATCATTATACAGCGCAAGTGTTAACGGGACACGGCACGTTCGCTAAAAAGCTGTACTCATTAGGATTAGTGGATACGTCGGAATGCCTATGTGGACAGAGGGACTCCTCGGAGCACACATTATTTTTCTGTGATACATATGCGGCTATCCGGGAGAACTTTAAGTTGGAACTGGAGTGTGTGGGTCGTAAATGGCCGCCTGAGAAATCATCATTAATGGATAAGGATGTGTTTCAGGGTTTTACTGATTTTATAGCAAAAATACTTAAGTATAAGGACAGAGACAGATGAATACACAAAGGTTTTTATAAGAGGTTGACGATCTGAGATATTTACTCAAATATATATTGGTATTTTTGTATATATATAAATATTTATTTATGTTGGAATTTATGTTTAGTTATTTATTAATATATATGTGTGTTTAGTTATTTGTATAGACTTATGTTGGTGATTGGAATGTTGGTGATGGTACCTTGGGACCTGAACTTTCGAGCCGGTGACTCCGCCTCCACGAGGCTCCCGTTGGGCAACGGCTACTCGCACGGAGTGTCCATTTGGGCATTCCGTATGAGGAGACGGCTAAGTGAGTCACTCCCTATAAGAACAGGGTAAGGTCCTTCCGCCCGGACTTGGAATTGTTTCGATAGGGCGGGAATTTTTCCGGGTCGGTTTCTCTGGTGAGGGTGGAGATGGATGGGTACCTATGCTGATATGGGATATGCTCCCGAGGTACAGCAACGGGGGGGAGTTCCTCTCTCCAGGCGTCACATTCAATGTCCCTATCTACTGGGAGTGACTATGACACTCCTGCGTTGCTAGGAGTAGAGCGAGGGTAGAACCTCTGATCGCTCCGGCAACGCAGCACTGCCTATGCTATGAGCTGATCGAGGCCAACTGCCTCCGATCGCTCGAGCATATACATTGCCAGGAGTAGACTGAAATCACGACTTCCGATCGCTCGAGCATACAAAATGCAAGGAGTAAACCGAGGCTACGACCTCTGATCGCTCGGGCACACAAACGCTAGGAGCAGACCGAGGCTACGGTCTCCGATCGCTCGAGGATGTGAAAGCTAAGAACAGACCGAGGCAACAGCCTCCGATCGCTCGAGCACACATACGGCTAGGAGCTAGGAGCAGACCG